ACAAGAAAAGCAAAAATCTAGAGTCATGCTTTAAAGCACTACTTTGAGTGTGCCATAGATTACTTTGCTTTTGTTGTGCCAAGGAAATGAATGCTTATGAAAAGTTGGTGTGTTGCATCCCTGAACTCACCAGTGCACACATGTTTCTGGTACCACTGGTGGCAGCAGGGATCAGGAAGAGCAAGGCAAGTGGGATCCCAGGGGGAGGGAAGGGCACTTCATGGTAAAGTGCCCCATTTCTGCTGTTGAGTCAGTGTTTCTTGTTTTAATATACAGGTATTGTGTAGACATGAAACTGCAGTAACCTTGGCTTTCCTAATTGGCAGAATGAATCAGCTTTTCAAACAGGAAACAACACTGTAATTAAGTTAACATTTAAACCACAATGCAAATAGCCAGAGCTTAATTCCTAGAATCACTACTTTCCCCTAGTATTATTTTAAAGAATTACAGTTGCAGAAAGAGAATCCTGTTTGTTTGATAACAGGATTAGCCGCATATTACCTCCTGAATTATGGGTTCTGGATTCAAGATCTGGAGTTCATGCTCACAGTGCTTCTGTGTATGATTACTGGCAAGTAGGTTGATTATTTTTTGTAAGCTGTGATTGCAGAGCAATAGTTCCTAACAATTTTAGTACATAATGCAATAGGGAAGGCATCTTTACAAAGTGCTTAGGCAGTGGGACTGGAAAGATCCTGTGTCTGGTCTGTGATGTTTAGTGTGGTTTTTTTGTGGAGCTTTTTGGTTGGTTGGTTGTGGGGTTTTTTTTGTTGGTTTTTTTTTTTTTTATTTGTTTGGTTTTCTGGTTTTGTTTTTTTTCCATCAGTATATTCTTTCTCCAGTGTTTAAAACTTTTGTCTTGAGAGAATAACAGTCTTCCTCAAAAATCATTCTTACTGTCAGATATACATATATAGTTATATATTTTTAGTAATACTTTTGAATTAAAAATGTCACTTGTTCAGTTGCTGCAAACTGGGAGGAAAAAAACAATTATGTTTGGTTACTCAAAACATTCATAACCCAAATGGAGGAGAAATAATGAAGCAGTCTTCCTTTCTCAGATTTTTTCATAAGGTGGTCCATCCTGGGTGAAATTAACCTTTAAAGTCTTATGCTGAGATGTTGCTAGGATTGAACTGTTCTGATATTGCCAGTCTGCCTTTATTTTCCACCTGTCAAAATCACACTAGCTTCAAGCATATTTATTCTGGAAGTTTTAGAAGTAGGACATGTTTCACCCATTATTACTGTCAATGATCCCATTACCCAAAAAGGAGAAATGCCAGGGAACTCTGTTTTCTGTCAGCAGAAATAAAGAATATCTCATATACAAATAACACATGAACATCTGGAAAAGAGTTCTGATATGTAACAAAAAATAACATGTTGTTGGGAAATAATATGTAAACTTGAAATAATTATGTGGCTGACACCATCCCTAAGCAATGCACTGTTTCTGATTTAGCCTTAAATGGTTTTACAGTGGGAAGTTTTATGGTGTCCTACTGTCTGAAAACAGAGAGAAATGCTTGATGATCAATATGGTTGGTAAAGCACATTCTAATGTGAGGAGATGTCTTCTACAGCTTACTCATTTCTATTTGAGTTCAAATAAATATGTTGTAGAAAGGGCACAGGGGCATCTTAGGCTGTTTCTGTTGTTGGTACATCAATTTCTCCACAATAATAAACTTATAAGCATCTTATCAGCACTGAAGCTGCATTTACTGAAACTCCCCCACGTGACAGCACTACAAACCCTGGTTAGTGGTGATGATGTCTGCTCACTTCTGCATAAAATGGAGCAATCCACTTCCCTGGCACTCACTGCCCTTAAGGGGAGAATCAGTCTCCATCCTGGAGTTCCCTTCCTACTGCAGGGGTGCAAGTACACGTCACTGTCTTGCACAAAGTCCTTTGCTGTAGGAACTCACTTATAAACCAAGTGTCCACGGGTGCCCGTTTCACTAAGATTCCAGCCAGATTATATCACTTCCCTAAAGCATTGTAGAACTTGGCAGATAAAAATGAAAATCCAAAGTTCTGTTTTCTGTTCTGTTCAACACCGAGAATGTTGTGATTTTTAAATAATATCTGATCCCCTTGAGCTGCGCTGGAGTTTACATTGGTGTGCAGACCCTTTGTAAAGCTTTCTAATGCTGTGTGACTGCCTCTTTAAGCAAGGGCTTTCTTCCTTAGTTGCCTTAGTTAAAAGTTTTCCACAAAATTGGCTGGTGTGTCCATGCATAAGTATTTTTCAGAACCTGCCAAGTCAGGGTGTAACTATTTTCTGGAAGAAATTGGTGTCTGTTTGTCTATCTGAAGTCTGATACACAAATATTCAGACTTCAGTTCCAAAGTCTGAGTATTTGTGTATCAGAGTATATAAGAGTTTAAATTGTGTAACAATGGCACCTTAATTAGTACTCTATGCTAGATCCTAGAATCTTTTGACTATATCTACTTATTAAACAGTTCTTTTCCTATCTTTGTATTTATGGATATAGTCAGCTCTCTGATGTTTGGCAAGTTAGATGATATTTCAGTATCTACAGCAAGAAAAATACATGCAAAAAAAGAGAATCAGTCTATTGCATGATATAACAGGGATATTTACAAATATAACATCTCTTTTGACTCCTTGGCTGGGTTTTATTATTAGATTATCAATATGGCAATATCCTGGAGTTAACAGCTGCTGGCACTGCATTAACAGCGTCTGTCAGGTTCAGAAATGCACTGTTTAACAATTTCCAGGAAAATTCAGTTGTTTCTCAGCTCATTTTAGGGAGATCTTCTCAGTTTCACAGACAACTGAGTGAGAGCATGTCTGTGTATTTTGGGACAATCATGGCAAAGCACAGTTTTTATAGACTTGGCATATAGAGCTATGCCAAAAGCACAGCACCTCTGAGTAAGAGGGAAGGTTTCAAGTATCTCTGTATAAAAAATGTGGATTTTTGTTTGTGGGCTTTGATCATTTTGGGAGTAACTGAAAGCACTCTGTAATGCATCTCTTCTCTATTTCAAGAGACAAGAAGCCCCATTCTTTGTGTTTAATTTTGTGGATAATTCTGCCTACGTTCGGAATTCTTCAGAAAATATTGTGCTCTTGGAGATAAGGTGGTTGGATGTTGGAGATAAGGTGGTTGGGTGGGTTTTTTTTTCTGAATATTTATGTTTATAAATTGAATGAATTTTAGTCTCATTTATTATTCCATTAATGCAGTCTCTGTGTTTTCCCAGGAATATTCAGGTCCTGAAATGTTATTTTAATGCGATGCCAAAAAAAAAAAAGTTTTAATATCAAAAATTACTGTGAAGATAAAAAATTAACAGATTACAGAGTTCTTCACTCTACTGTGATCTTCTCTTGCTCTGTAATAGTGCCAAATATGTTCAAGTATCAGGAAGCAGTAGATTATCACAATATTTAGTTCTTATACTACCAGTTTAAAAATTGCCTTGAGAACTACTGACCTAAATGTGTATTTATAAATGATAACTTTTGCATGAAAAAAGAGGGGAAAGAGGGCTGGTAGAGGAGCTCATAACTGAGATATTGCTGGCTTTAGGTAGGTATTCGCATTACAGTACTGTCAGTGTGACCTTAGTGATATATATATTTCTTATTTAAAACTGACTAGGGATGAAGACTTGTACAAATGTAAATGTAAACTATATACTGGAATTTCTGTTGAATGTTGGAGTTTAAAAATAGTTTGAGATGTTTAAAATGGTTTACCTTTTTTCTATCAGTGATTGAACTATGCCTTCAGACTAAGCTGACTCCTCAAAATGAAAGGGAAATGCCACTTAAGGAGTGTAATTACATTTTTTTTTGAGAGAGAGATATGCAGCTGTTCTCATGCCCTTTTAATCTCTTTAATACAATTTTTAACAATGATAAAATCCCTCAAGGATTCTTTGTGTAAGTGATACTAGTCAGAAACCCTGTAAGTTGCAATTTGGAACCAAGAATAAAAAAGTGTAATTATTTAGAATTTATCTTGCTTGCAGAACTGAGACTCTGCTGATTCAATTCATTCAGACTTGTGTACCTTTTATAAAAACATGTGGTTTTGATGAATGTCCCTTCCTTAAGAACTCTCTATAGGCAACAAGGTGTCCTATCCAAATTTTTGAGCAAGTCTGTGAGACTGCTGGTAGTATCATCTTTCATCTTATAGACCAGCAGTGAGTTTTCTTGCAGGTTTTTTAACTGTTTATGTTTTGTTACTGAAGTTGCACTGCTTTGAAAAAGAACACGGTCTCTAATATGTGAACTGTAACATTTTAAAGCAAAGAGAATGTGATTTATTTCTGCTCTTGGGGAAAGTAAAAAGCAAAAGTAATCTGAGTTAAACAGCAAGGTGAAATCTATGTTAATTATTGGCCTAGTAGTGATTGCTCTGCAATTTATATAAATATTACCATGAGCTCAGTTGATTGACTCCTGTTTTATCATATGGGAAATAATTGTTAACTTTTGTGCATGTTGCATTTCTCAAAAAGCTTTGTCAGTTTCAAACTGAGCATCCACCTCAAAATTCTAAGAAAAAGTGTTGTCTAGCTTTATAAACCTTTTTTTTTGAAATGGGAATAGTAATGGAATTATGTTGATACTATCTGTATTTTTGTCTGCAGAGCTAACCCTTCATGATGCCATATGTTGGAAGCAAAATGAAAAAGCCCTCACTTCTTCAAACATGAATTATGAATTAGTTCCATTTTTATATTTTCTTGCAGAAGAGGATAATTAAGCAAAGAGAACGAGTGCAGTTAACAGCATATTATAGCATGCCATATATATTCAGGACCAATGATGAGTCTCATGCTCACTTCATGAGAAATCTTTCCAGTCTCTGCATTTTTGATGTGTTCATTGTTGTAGCTGAGCAGTAGCACCATAGCCTTCAGGGTGAGCATCAGAACATAGGGCTTTCATGGATAAAGAAAACATTCTAATGTGCTCTGGTTCTTTTATTTTCCAGAATCATCCAGCCATACAACAAGAACAATCATGGTAAGTATAGAGGAGATTATAGGTATTGATCTGCCTATAGCTATGGTTTTTTCCTTTAAAATGAAGTAGATATAGTAGTATCCTAAGCCATTGGCTTTTTTTTTTTTTTTATATTCCAATATCACTATAGACATAAAATGAGTCTGTCTTTATTTCATGAGAAATCCTGGGGAAAAAATCAGAGATTAAAGAGCTTAAGAAGTAACAGTGCTGTCAGTTAGAATAGCTGAAAAATTCAACTACAATTCTATGCTCTGTGTTTAAGTGATTTTTGGTTATATCAAATTAATGTCGATAAAATTTCTTGCATTGTATCTATATCACGTGGGGCAAAGCACATTTAAATTTCAGAACAATAGCTGAGTAATTTTTTGCATAACATTCCTTAGAGGCGGGTTTCTGACTTTACCTTGAGTTTGATAATTTGGATTCCAGAAATGGGAAATGTTTAAGAGGATAGATACACTTTCAAAAATGAGATTAGAAAGCTTTATGTAAAAAAATGTCATGCACTTAGTGACTGTCTTGCATTTTTATAGGGTGAGAAATGTTGGTCTCTTTATTTTTCAAACTCATAATAAAGTTAGGTAAGGGCTGAACAACAATTCACATAGAGAAAACTTTTCTCAATCTCTTATGATTGATGCCTGTCCTGTGGGTGTTTGAGGAGAGGGCTTTCTGCTTTTGGAAAATAGGCAAGCATTGAAATTTTAGAATAAGCTCCAGCAAATCATGACATGAGCTTGTTTATTTCCATTCCTACAGTTTTTAGGGTGTCCCTTCAAGTTTATATCTTTTTTTATGTATGGCATTTATGGGACAGGTAAATTCCCCCATGGATTTCTTCATTCTGCAGGGGATAAAGGGTTAATATAGTTCATTGCCTTTATCATCAATGGACATTAATAATCCAGTGCAAATGAATTAGAAATAGGTAAGGACTACAGACCACAACAGATTTCAAAATAGTAGAGATGTCTGGAAAAGTGATGTTTCTGTTTCCTACTGGATGTGATGTTATCCTTCTTGGTCATGGATTTGTTTTAAGTACACCCATTTCAAAAGAAGATATTTAGTTATTCAAGTGTATTCCTCTGCTATGAAATTTTGGAAGGGATTGAAAAACTTTTCAGTGTTTTTTCCATACTGCATTGGTTTGGGAAAAAAAGCAGGACAATTGTGTTGAAGCTGGTGAGCCCTTCACTCTGCTTTACCTTTACCCTTTTTTGTCCTATTAATTGTACTCTGAAGATACTCAGTCTCTCTTTTCCATTGATATACCAGAACAGTTCTAAAAACTGAGCCAAAAGAGTGAGGATTTTTCCTATATATTTTTTCCTCACACCAAAACATGTCCTAACTTTTAAAGAGAGAAGGAAAAGGTTTTTAAATAACTTGAGTTCTTGAGAGGTTCCTGTGTTTTGAACCTTTCCAGACCTCTCTGCTGACAGCTCTGATGGCTCAGACCTCAAGTGAATATTCTGCAGTCAGTGTGCAGTAATTTTTCATTGCACTTAAATAAATAAAGGTAGAAATAAAAGTAAGTATTCTTCTTAAAGAGAAATTGTTACAGCAATGTCTGCTCTGCTCTGCATCTAAAGCATAACTGAATGTGTAAAAGAAAATTTCTTACTCCCCAGTGAGTAAGTAGAAACTGTCAGGAAAAACAGGAAATATGGTATTCCTTGCATTAAAACCAGTATGAGATGATACATTTGATACAGATGTAGTAAAGCAATGCTGCTGAGAGCCAATGTAAAATGCTACTGTAATAAATATTTACTCTGAAATGAAGTCCCCTTTTTCTGACTGATTACAGTTATATTGCAACATGAAAAGTTAAAGCATGACCTGTAGTCATCAGAATGTGAGAGGTACCACAGCAAATTTGTGCTACTGCCTTGGCTGCTCTGATGTAAAAGAACTTTTGTCTTACCAAGGTGAAGTTTTTGCACCTCTTTAAAGTTGCATATACAGGTGTTGAAATAATGTAAGGCATTAAATCTGATCTTGTCTCTGAAGATTCAGATTTTTGCTGAAGTCAAAGCCAGCGAGGTATAAAGTGTGCTCTGCTCAAAAAACAAAGTCCAGTTTTTCTGAGGACATTACAAGTATTTTTCTCCTGTATTTAAAGGCAATGATAGCTGCCTATTTTTTGTTTCAGATTCTTGTTCATAAAAATAAAAACCCAGAAAATATTTTAAGCATCTGTGTGATGAGGGGAGAGGGAGAGCATGCTCTCTTTTAACTATAAAATAAATTTCCTTTTATTCTGGGCATAGTTGCCTAGCCTAATTTTCCATTACTAATTTACTGATTTCCATAAATAACTGTTTACTTCAAAATCATACCATCTAAGACATGGTGTATTCAGAGGTTATATAGCTTTTGTGTGCCATGTATGACAAGCAGGGACTATAAACATTGCAGTATTCTGGCCCAGAGGCTTTGGCAAGTCAGCTGTCATCTTTTAGGAGGGTTGTTTCTTTTGGGTTTTTTTTGTGGGTTTGTTTCTCTTGCACAGAAAAGTGATTGTAGCATTACATTTTCAGCATTTTCACAGAAAACACAAAATTTTCAGCATTACAACTATTGTAGGTGTTTGTGAAAGGTTTGGTGGCAAATCCAGAGGTTCCAAAGTTATACTTGTATTGAGTACTTGCTTATTTTCTTGTATATGATCTGTTGCTTGAACATCTTTCACTTTTAATAGCCTTTGGGTATTTTAATGAAATTCTATACCCAAAGTGGTTGTGTGCCTGCATACTATTATCAACATTTGCAACTTCATGCTGTGTAGAGATTTTGGGTATTAATTTTTGCATTCATCTCCCACTTCTATGAATAAGTAAACCAGCCCCAACCCTTGATGCTTATTAAAGGTATAATGCTTATCCCTTTGGAAATAGGAATACCTCAGGTGTGGCAAAAGAGAATCAATACCTGATTAAACTTAAGGTAATTCTAAACTTGTTTTAAATGATGTATTGTATAATTAGGCCAATGCAAAATATATGGAACCAATTAATACGGGTAATTGCCAGTCATCTGAGCATAGCTGATTTATTCTAGTGATTTCTTTCTCCTTGTATGGAGCTTCTTTTGCTCTGCTTTGAATTGATTTTTTTTTGTTTTGTTTAAAGATACAACAAAAAACCCCTAAAAATGTTAATTTAAGGCAAAAGGAATGTTTTCCTTCTAGAAACAATGGAGGAAAACATAAGAAATCATAAATTGAAATCCACTTAGGAATTTATGTTAGTGCAGTTATACATTCCTTCAGCCATAGTACAAATGTTCACTGTTAATTTTTACACTTTGAATTACTGTAAGTGCTTATTACTGTAAGCTGAATTTTTTTCAGATCTGAGTGTCTTTTCAGAATTTTTAGTGGCTCTCAATGAATAAATGTTTGACCACTTATATAGCAATATAAAAAACTGAGCAACTTATAGGCAGGAACCTTGGCTAGAATTTAGGATCTGGGTCCCATTCCTGAATTTGTATAGGATTCCTCTCTTGTCTTACCATTATGCATCTCAGTGTCCTTGTACTTCTCTGGGAGCCAGTGAGGACAGGAGATGTACTCTTGATAATAAAAATGCTATAATAAGTTACCACTTTAATTTAAGGTGATTTTGGGATGGTATCCAGACTTCATTGGACTCATAGCTGCCACTAGAGCAGATATCACGGGTATAGTGATCCTATGCAGTCATTTCCTTGGTTTCCCTGCCACAGCAAAGCCTTATGCCAGGTGCATCTTGTATTGAAAGACCTGATTTACAGTTGTAACTCAGTGCTGCTGCTCCCAGAAGATTTGACAGGGACAAAGACATGTAGCTTCTTTGTGAAGGGATCACCTGTGTTTCTTGGAAGTTGGAGGTGTCTCAGTTATCCACTGTGTGCAGATGGGAAATCCATGCCCTTGCCAGGTGAGTTTTGATGAGCAGCACTTGCAAGCAGCAGAGAAATGGATCAGCAAGGGGCAGGGGGAGCTGCACAACAACCAGTCTTTATGTAAAGTCCTCCTTGTTGAAGACCTTGGAAGGATTGCCTTTGGTCTCTGAGGGTGCATTCACTCTGCAGCTTGGACACCACCTGTTTGACAGGTGAGACTCTTCCCAGAGATTACCCCATGATGACTTGAATATTTGTGTTCTTTAAGGGATGTAAGTTTGCCTGAATCAGAACTCCCTTTGTATTGAGAAGTTTTTCTTCTGAGTGCTCTCAAAGTTTTTCCTCCTGATGTCTTTTGAGTGTGGAACAGTTTCGTCACAGAGGAACAAGAGATCTCAGTGAATGTGCTCAGACTGAAGTGAAGAATTTGGGAGAAAGGAGTCACTCATCACAGAGGAAGATTTGTCCACAATGCAAACTCCTGATGCTCAGGTGCTGCTGTGATGTGGCCCTGGCATGCAGACCCTTAACACCAGTGGCTGTGTTGCAAACTCAGAGCACAGCTCATTGGTGATGTACACAGTCAAAATCAAAGCAGAGCAGCTGATTGCACACGGTGGTGTTGTGAGGAAATTACTGAAGCTTTTTGCAAGAAGAGTTTTAAATGAGAAGGACTTCTGTGGTAGCACAGGGAGTATTCTTGAGGCTTTCATAACCTTTCTGGCATAACTGTGTTCTAGGAGGGAAAATTTGAGTTCATCATCATCATAAAAGAAAAGCATTTAATGAGTACTTTGTATGAAAGTTCATTCTGCTCTTGGTGTTGATATTAGTGTGACAGTGGCATTGAATGCTCATTTTCATATTCATTGATGAATATATTTTTTGAGAGGAACTAATGAACTGATTTCCTGGTCAAGAGCTTCAATTGTTTTTATTAACTTGAAATTAATGTGGTCCCTAGCACAGACTGGAGAACAATGGTCTTATTTTCTCTGTCCTTCTGTGAAATGTAATTAATTTCTTCAAATAGCTTAAAAGGGCTGGGGTAGAAAGGAAATAAAAGAGAAAATTCTAACCAAATTGATGCAACAGAAAGCAGATGATATTGTAAGCCTTGTGTCATTTTCTGTAATGTTATCTCTTGCCTGGAGTGAGGGTTAGGGGCTAATAAAAGTAGAAAAAAACAGAAGTTCAGAATTAGTTGCAATATCTGGCTCTGTCAGGGGAAAAAGTGTTGTGAAAAGACAAGTACTTTTTCCATCAGGCTTTACTGTTTTGCAGAGTTTATGCCACAGGAAAGATACTTTTTGTACCTTTTTTGAACGTTTTTTGCCTGCATTTCTTATCTTAAGGAAACATTCAATGGTGTATTAGAAAGGAGCCTGGGAAAAGATCTGAATCATTACATGAGATACCTTAAACCCATTATTTAGTAGGGAAGCACAACCAAAATATACCATTGGAGCCCATGAATGCTCTTCTAGTGCATGGCACAGTAAATTGCCAGATAGAAGTATTGAATGGGAAATCTGATGTGTGGCAATGTTTTCCATGTATGACTCTGTACTCTCTTTTTGAGCACCACCCACTGTGTACAAGAAGAGATCAGTAGTTAAAAACCTTAATGAATTTCTAATTTCATAGCACCTATGTACTTTATCCTGAATTTACTCTAAATAACAGCTGAATTACTTCTAGTAGCATGTCTTTTAGGTACTTTTCCCCATCAGAGCCAATATGAAAAAATATGTGAAAGCCAAACTGCAGTCTAGACACTGATTGAAAAAATGGAAAAAAGTAAGTATTTTTAAAGGGCTACAAAGATAGATTAATGATCCTACATGCAACAATTAAATTCACCCTAAATCTTCTTTGTTTTAAGACAAAGGAAAATAGTTTAGGTCTAAGAAAGATTTATATGTGACTCACTCAAATATGATGTCTTGTTTCTCCTCTTCTTGTTTGGTTTTGTTACATGAGATCTAAGGAATCACAGAGGAGATGGCTCAGTTACTCACAGCAGCATAATGGATAGATGGAAATTTTCTGTCCAATGCATAAAATTTGTCTATTGGAATGTGATCCCAATATTAGTGGGTGGAACATGCCTGGGCTCTTCTGGCCCTTGCTGCTTGACCAGAGGCGGCAACTGTGGTGTTTTCACCTCAGAGACACCCCTGGCTGGCTGGATGTTGCAGCTGGCACTTGGAAGAAGTCCAGGCAAGCGGGAACTCAGTTTTTAGCTCTAATGGGAAGGCTTTAAAGATTTTTAGAATCTGTCTCCTCTTCCTCTTCACCTCACCTTCACCTTTAGGCGAGGTGAAGAGGAAAAGGAGACGGATTCTGCCGGAGGGTTAATCCAGAGTTTTATTCCATGGTCGCAGATCTCCGAATCTTGGTAACAGCTCCAACAGAATCCTGACCTCATGGTCCCGTGTCTTTTCAAGCCCAGGGAAAGGGGGAGGGGAAGGGACAGGTGTGCCACCAACCAGGTGGGAGGGGGGCAGTCTCAGGGGACAATGACACCCAGACTGGCTAATGACCCCAGGGCTGAGGGGCATCTTTTGAACTGCACCAACCAGACAACGCCCTTGCTGGAATGTTAAGATTGATGGACAGCACTTAGCAAGGGGGCAAGGGGGAGGGGAAGGGAGAGGCATGCACACCTGAGGGGCTGGGAAAGGTGAAACAGGATATTGCTTCACACCGCAACATTTGTCCTACTGGAGAGAGCAAATGGTGCGGATCAGGGTTTTGTCATTATGTGAATATAATGCTTTGAATATGAGTGTAAGAATTGTTCAGAAAAAATGATGCCCTTGTTTATATTTTCTGGCTATTTTATGTTTTTATGACATGATTTAAGAGATCAGTTCTGTGCTCTGTTCTGCTGGTTTTGTGGGTGCTACCAGTCCCTTCCTTACTAATGACTGTGCTGCTGCTCCCCTAATTAGGGGCTACTCCCACGAATGTGCAGCATTGGGTGCATTTGAGGAATGTTACAAAAATGCTATCAGTAATGTGGAACACTGGTGTTATTTTACCAAGAAAATAGTACTTCTACCTAAGAAAACATGATGTTGAATTCATGTGAGATAAAGTAAGCAAATTTTCTTCTTTGTATAATGTCTTCCATCGTAACTGGTTCTATCCAATTGTTGTTAGTCCTGCTGCTAATTGATTATGTGGGAAACAAGATTAGGATTTGCAGGATTAATTTTTTTTGTCATGGTGTATTCTTCCAAAACATTAGCTACAGATGATTACAGAAAACATTTCCACTCTCCTCATGTGTAAGAAGGCAGCTTCTCTTGTTAGATCTGAGTACTTTCTCTCATTGCACAATTACTCCGGGTAAAGGTTGAGTGGAAAATCAATGCATCATTTCCAGTTTGATGTTATCAGCTGTGAAATGAATGCAGATATATTGCAGGTAGCTCTAACTAGATAAACACCAGTGAGTAAACCTAAGAACCATGGCATCAACATGGTGATATAAACCTTTGTTTTCCTGCTTCCATTCAGGTTAACAGCAGGACCAAACCACTTATTCAGTGACTTCTATTTAAAAACAAAAACAGGCAGAGTAAGGACCTGCAAAGTGAGAAGTATGCATTTTTTGAAATTAGTTTAATGCCATAGTTGGATGAAAAAATAGGTCTTGTATCTCATTGCTTGGGATTTTAGTTTTTTTGCTCAGAAAATGTTAATTCTCTCCTAAAATCAATGGGTTTCTGTTTCTGAATTGCTTAGTTCATAGCATTGACTCATGCTTCAATATCTTTTTTGTATACAACGGCATTCGCAATAGTTAATTCAGTTTTTAAACAGCCTTCAAACCTATGCATGAAACATGTCAATGGGCACAGGTTGGTTGTTATCTTGCCCCCAGGTGCTGATTGAGGAAGATGAGCCAGGTTTTCAGACGTGTGTAGGCTGCCCTTTGCAGCAGAATTCGTTAATGGAATTATGCTTATTCTCAGACAAACACCTTTCCCTTTTATTATGATTTCAGCATGCTGCTCCCCACATCCACATGACTAATGGGAAGGCCTTGCAAGCCAGTGCAAGTGCCATTAAGACCAGCACCATTCCAGTGATCAAGAGACAGAGGCAAAATTGGCTTGATGCTTCAGATGATGGTTTCTTCATAGCTACAGAAGAGACCAGGTAAGAAAGAATGAAATCTTAGCAGGGAATGAGGCTTCACTGCATACGTGTCACTGATCCACTATTTCAATAACAGTTTTTGACATTATTATCTGAAGTTGCATTACAGCAGAGAGCCATGCTTGGCACATGCCAAACTTTGCATCTTCTATCTACTAATATTATCAGCATTTCATTAATAACACTTAGTGCTACTTCTCTGTGGCAAAGATTAGAACTTTTAAATTTCACTTATTTTAGTTCATATACAATGAGGTTTAGGGCACCTCTGACCATCCAGCAAAATATAAATGCATCTACAGTGTAGGTTATCTTCTGAAATTTTCAGAACTTGAAAAATAGTGTACAGTGAAGAAATATACAGCTGATAGCATCTTTTCCAGGCTAGAAGTTGATTTCCTTTAAAAGCAACTGAGATGATAATCTCCTTCAACCTTTCATTTACAGATTATTTGGTAAAATTTAACAAGCTTTTGCTTTCCCCAAAAGTGCTTGATATCATGGAAGAGTCACTATTTTTCTGGAGGTTCCTCTATTCTGTTCTTGTCTTCCCCTGTCTGGCCCTTCCTTGATTTAATTCAGACTAAGACAAGAAGTTGCAGTCTGGTTTGTTTTGTTTTTTTTTTTTTTTTTTAAAGGGCCTGTTATTTAAAAACCTTTAATATCTTGCTTAATTATAGCAAGTAACATCAGACTTTCCTCACTTCTGTGATTATTTCACAAGCCTAGAAAATCTGGTAGTTGAAGAAAAATGTAAATAATAAAAAGAGAGAAGAGAAAGAACATATGTAAATATAGAGATAAACATGGAAAATGTGCACATTTAATCCCATTAATGGCAGATTCAGCTAGGAAAGTTAACATAATAGATACTAGCACATGATGATCTGGTGGTTATTTCAACATAATTCATTATGGCATTTTGGGTTTTTTTTATGAGGAATGCAACAATTCAGAGAGAATGGTAAGAGGTTGCTGAGCTGATGAGCTCTTAGGCTTCTGATTCCAGCCCAGATTGATGGCATTTTGAGTTGTTTGATACAAAGACTTTAGTAATATCAGACTAATCCCTAACAATTGGATCCTGAAACTGAGATTGATTACCTTTTGAAGTTTTAGAATTTCCAATTTAGTTTTTTCCCAGTCTTATAGAGAAATGCCTGTCAAAGGATGAGAAATCTTACATGGGCAGTGATCTCTCCACTGATCTGGGAAGCAGCCCAGACAACTTACCTGGACTAGATGTTTAAAATGCAGGTGGTTGAAGTGTAGTGGGATGAGTCCTGGCTTTGCAAATCACTCATTTGTGATAGCTCTGCTTGCTCTCATCCTAGGAAATCCCCCTCCCCACTCCCAGGGCTGCAGACCCCATGCCCAGACCAGGGAGAAAGCAGAGCTGGTTCTGGCTCTGCAGCCAGGGTGGGGCACAAACAAGGGTCTTAGTGCTCAGGGGTCTGTGTCTGCTCCTCTTCTCCAAATAATGAACAGTTTCAAGTAACACTTGAAACCTCCTGGTATGGGGAACACAGGGAAGCTGGACCTCACTACACTCCTCAAACAAGGAGGTGCCTGAACATGTGCTGCTGCATCACTCTGGCAGGTGCAGGAGCAGCACAGCAGGGAATGCTTTTTGTCTTTGAAACTCTATTTCACATGAGATCTGTTCCTTGTCTTTCACAGACGTTTTTTCCATTTTTTCTTTTTTTTTTTTTTTTTTTTTTTTTGGTACTTTCCTGTCCTCACACACCATCTCCATTGACTCCTTCCCTCACATGTGTCTCCTTTCTAATTTTTTCCTTTGATTCCTTTCACCTTTACTCTGAGATTATTTAGAGCTGGGCTAGCTTGCTCTCCTCTGGGCTCTGAAAGTCTCCAGCCTTTAGAACTCACCAAGTGGAAAGGCCTGCCTGGTTCTGCTGCTAGGAATGCCCCATGTCCAAGAGAACAATGAAATACTCTGTTCTTTGAGGGCAGCTGGAGGCAGACAGCAGTCCCTGCCAGGCAGCCTGTCCTGTGATAGGAGATCACAGCTCAGCACTGCCAGGACAAAGTTGAAAAGCCAAGTTGGATGCAATATAATTACAATGGGAAGAGATGACTAGGGAGGAGATGTTTGAAAAAGCAGCACAAAATTTACCCAGTCCTGACACAGAATGAAAAAAAAACCCCAAAAAAGCAACAAATAAGAATGAGCTGCTAGGGAGCAGCTATTAGGTTCTGAACATGTTCTGAACACTCAGGTCAGAAATAATCACCCTATCTAAGGTCACAACTGGTTCTTTAGGGAACTTTTTTGTGCTCCATCAGGACCCAGTCTGTTTTATCATGTGAATTTGTTCATTAAAAATACATATGAGAGCGACACATGCTAATTATAGCAAAAGGAAAAATATTTTTCAGTGTAATTGCAGCCTGAAAAAAAAGGAATTATTTTTCAGTATCGTTTGCAACAGTCCACAATAATTTTCATTTCTCTGTCCTAAAATTTATTTTGTCTAATGAATTAATGCTTAAGATGCACATTTCTATAAAATATCAAGTAGGGAGTCTAGAGGGTAAATTTTCACAGAAATTTAGCTTAAAAAGCCAATAATAGACTGTTGATATTTGTGGAGGAAAAAAAAAGAGTAATAATATTGCTCCTAGACTGAAAGAGGAGGTACCAGTCTATTTCGTGCTAATCAAACCCAAGATGCACATAAGAATTCTCAATTTTATTATTTATCAATAGATAAGGTAAATATCTATTGTTATCTATAAATATTATTATTATAATATCATTATCTATAAATATCCTATATAAGGTAAATATATATTATCATTTATATCTATTTATTTATCTATTTATAAATATCTATTTATTAAATATTTATTTATCACTCCATTTTAGAAGAAATTTTAGTAATATTAATTTTTTAATAATCACCCTTTACTTTCTGAATTTAAGCAGCAATATTATTTCTGTAAAGTTAACTCTTCTGTATCTGATTGCTCACATATTTGAGATATTTGTAGCAATGGATGTGAAATATTAAGAGCAGTGAAAATGGGAATTATGTATCATCTAAGCTTTCCATGGTAACCCTTGGAGTTACCCTGGAATTTTAGGGCAGTGCCTTTCTCTCTACGCTCAGGCCACAGTTCAACAATGCCTGCAGGTATTCTTAAAAATTAGTGTGAGCTTGTGTATCATGGAAACACAAGGACTGGAGTTTACATCTGAAGTTGAACATATTTTTGGGTGCTAATCTGCCCCTCTGAGTACAACAGGAATGTATTTTATATCAGTTGTAATGCACATCCTCATACATTTCAGCTTTGTTTTTAAGCTGTAGCTATTTGGAAGCCATTTCCTCCCCCACTGTTTATCAGTTTCTGCATATCTGGGGAAAAATGGCAGCAGAATTCCCATTTGTGTTTCCTTCCTTCCCAGGATTGCCCCTGCAGAGCTGGCTGCACACTAACACAGTGCTGAGCCCCAGTCCTTGCAGCCCACGGCCACTCTGGGGGACAGACAGGGGTTTCCATCTGTCTGCATGTTAGAGCCTTGAAGGGATCACCCTCATGAGTTTTGTCATGTTTGTATGTGGATGTCCTTCTGAATACTGTCAGCATGCTCAGTGAATTTTGCCAATGAATGCAGAGGTCCCCAGTTCTGCTGTTTCATCTGCACTCTTCATTCCAAACCCTCCCTGATGCCTGTGTGAGACCAGCTCCCATGGGATTTCCCTGCCCCTCATAGACATGGGCTCACAGCAGGGATTAATCTAGACAAAAATCCACATGGCAGTTTGAGAACACTTACCTTTTGACATTACATCGTAATTTTAATGACCTTTACTGGATTTAATATTTTTGTATTTTTCTTTATTTGTATCCTTTTCAAATGAAAAAGAAATTCTCATTCTCTACTGTAAAATAACTTGCTCAAGATTTTATTCTGAAGTGCAAATCTGTTTACACAATTCATCGAAAAAATCACTCTTTAAAGAGCCTCGTGTTTATCACTACTCACAGAAGAGTGCCCTTAGTTTTTTTTAAATATCCTTAGATATTAGTTGCTGGGATTCTCCTAGCACTACGTGCATGCTTTAGGATAAGCCAGTATTCTCCTAATTATAAAGCATTTTATTCATTTCTTTGTGCTAAATCAGCTTTGCTATAAGGAAGATTTTTGGGTGATGTGGGTTCTATTGTAGGCCCAATAGAGGTCAACAGAGAAAATTACCATTTGTGAGGAACTAAATTCTTTATACAGAATTACTGTTCTGGGAGTTAATAATTGAAAAAGTTGATCATCATGGTCTTTAGAACCTTAGTAAGATGTAATATATTGGCTTAATATATATTGAGTTATAGATGATATAAACACAACCTTTGAGTCAAATTAATAATATTACTGTTGAACCATTCAATGACAAGGGGAATATATCTGTTGACAAAAACTTTTCTCACCAATTCTAGGTATGCAGTGTGCCTCTATTTCCTATATACACACTCTGTCCCTAGCAGAGTGCATGTGCATGCCAATGATCACACTTGTGTAGGGACAGCTAAAACACTGGCTGGTAAATGAATTAATTTTTTTTTCAGCATTTGCATTATAAGAAATGTGTGGAAATGTTTGGCTGCCTGCGCTATAGCAGCGGATTCTATGTGCTTTCCCTTCATGGGCCAAAAAGCATATTTGCATATAGCTCTGCAGTTGAATGACTCAATGCTTGTTTCCTTTCAGTGCTGAAGCAGTTAGAAACCTTCTCACGGTAAGTGCAACTCCATTGGGAATGAGTTAACTGCAACTGCTAAAATTAGAACGTGATCTTTAGCTGGTACCAGCAGACATGGCTTCCTTTTTTTGCTGATAAAATGATTTGAGAGGCATCCCTGTGGCAGCATTATATAGGCAATTTTCTTATCCCTCACTTCATGTTTTGTCTCCAAAAGGCAAAATCTTCCCTTGATTTGTTGAGGTGCTATGTAAGGATATCACAACTGCTGTGATAATTACCTGGTACCACTCATTTTTTATTTATGCATGTCTCATAGCACACACAAAAAAAAGCTTAAAATCCAAAGTTGCATGTTGAGAAAGAAGAGAATGTGAGGCTGACAACCAGCTTCTGCAGAATGTTGAGTCTTGCTGTGCTGTCAGTGGTCTGCTTCTCATGCAGAAGTCTGGGAGAGCCATGCTGGTGCTCATCACCCTTCGTGCTCCTGCACGTGCTGCTGGCCCTCTCTGCAGTGCAGTTTTATCCATGGAAAACCCAGCCTGTACCTGGAAACACAAACTGAAAGCCTGCTGGAACCAAAGCCCGAGTTAAGAGTTGTGGGTGACCTGCCCCTGCCCCCTGTCTCTCCCACACGTGTTTTAATCCAGGCTTAGGCAAGGCCATGCACAGTGCTTGAGTTGCAGCACGTTGCCTGGAGAAAAGGGAAAACTGGAGGAGTAAGGCTTTGGTGCCTGGGGTCTGATACACACTGCAGAGCTGCAGCTCTACATCTGAGCCAGAGTTCCAGTGCTAACTGTTCTGCTCCTTCTTCCTCTTCACACGTACAATTCCTATCACACAAATGTCCATGGGTATGTTTACTCTTTCTTTTCCAGTTGGCCCCAACTGTGCAAAAAAAAAACTTGTGTGCCAAAAGAAAAAAAGGTATTTTTGGCCTTTGCTTTTTGTAAAGATGAGGCACTTTGATTTGATGCTGGTTTTGAACTACACCACACTTGGATCCTGGGCATCGTGTATTTTCATTTCTTACCTGCATGGCACCATGGCCTTTAGACCCCAGTCCTGAACCAGCTGCAAGAAGATGTCTGGCTGCACTCTTGGAGCATCAGCTGCAAGCCTGACAATGTGATGGACCAGCTCTCTAACAAAAAGCCATATCAGCCTCTAAGGATGTAATTTTCCATCTCCTTTACTTCTGCTGTATTATATAGTTGTCATGCATCTTGAAAAGCAGGGATTACAGAATATATCCCTTAGAATTCTCTTTAATCCCTGCTGATAGGATTGCAAATATCTTATTGATTGACCATGTCTGAGTCCAGGTGAACTGACAGCTCTCTCCAATCTCTGTGACAATACTGTGTATGAAGAATTTGGGGAGGAATTGTCCTTGCTACAGTTTAGGAGCCATCCTACTTGGTTAACTTCCATTCAAAGCTGTTATATGCTCATGAGAGAGCATAATAGTTTCTATGAGATGTTATTTTGATCTAATTTCATGTAGTCTATTCATGAATGCTGTGCACTGTTCACATCTTATAAACCATACTTTTCTGAGTCCCAGCTGAGGTACTGTGGTATGGAATCACAAGCAGCAGTATAGAAACTAGATCATAATCTCTTACCATTCATTTCTCATTGAGCAGGTTTCACGGGTCTAAAGGCATTTTTTTCTTTCAGTAATTTGTTCCTGTTGGACCCTTTATAGTACCTACTAAATCAAAGTAGCACTATTGTGATAATGCAAATGTTTGTTTTTAAAAGCAGGTTCATTCCATGGATAACAGGTTCATTCCATGGATATTCCATTTTCCATATATAAGGAAAACGTGTTTACAAAAATGCCTCAGAGCTCAGTGTAAGTTGTGCCATTGGACAGAGCTGGGAGGTTTGAAAAACACAGACTGTTATGGGGTTTGCTTTATCAGTCTTCAGAGCAAATGGAATACAATCCAATTCTGGTTTGGAGCTGTGGATTAATCTTCTCACTGTTTAAATGGAGTTTCAGTGGCACTGCAGTAAGCTGCTTACCCTGTTTGAAGCCACATGGCCGTGGAAGGATGTTGCAGTGTTTGGAGCGCTTGCCTAGGACTTGGAAAACCATGATCCAGTTCCCTGCTTCCTCACAGACCTCCCATGACGTGTCAGTCAGGTCTTTTTAGTCTGTATCTCCAAGCATTTATATACCTAACTCCTCAGACACAAAATAAGAAGGTGCTTAAGTGCTTGCTTGAAGATTTGGAGGCAAAGAACAGGTAGCACGTGTTCTGAAGAATCAGGTGAAGCCTTCTCGTTCTTCCAGAGCACTGCTCCACATGGAGCAGGTCAGAAGCCTTAGAGGGGATCTTCTTTCAGAGGAAACTCTTTACTTTTATTGGTAATGAAGTCTCATGGATATGCCACCCACAGGAATCCAGAAGCTGTTGACTGAACCTGGATGATTTGTTAGTTTCAGGGCTGTCTGCACTGATTAGCAGGTGAAAATTAATTAGCACAGAGCTTTGGTGATGACCACAGGGAGGCTGAGGCTGGGAACAGATGGCTGTAAATGACCTAGTTACTGCTGCCTGAAAAGTCACACCTTTGGCTCTTGTGAAATGATCCTGCCCTGTTGTGAGCAGAAATTCAAATATGCTGCCTCTCCAGGGGGGCTTAGATACCAAAGTTTGCTTTGTAATTGCATCTGAGGTCAGAGCTTGAATGTGGCTAATTCACATGGCTCAGCTAAAAACAAAGGCATGTTTAGAAGGGTCACTCAGCCACTTGCAGTCTTCTCCACTGCTGTTGACAAATGTTCTCTCACATTCATACAGTAGGTGCAGAAATAGCCAGAAAATTTTATATTTGGGAAGGGAAATACAATTTCCAAAATAAGCCTTTTTGTAAACTTTTGTTCTTTTTGGAAACTTGGGAGGGAAAGAAAACCTCAATAACTTATATGAAATACAGGGACGATAAATACATTAAGGAAACTCCTATATAAGCACTTGGCTTTTCCAAAAACCTTGTTTTCTTTGCTGGACCTTCCAGACCCAATTCAGCAAAGCCCTTAAATCCAGTCCTGAGCTCAGTCCATCAGCTAGAGTGCATCACGTAGCCCCCAGTACACCCTGTATGTCTGAGGTTGGATTGCGATGCCATGCATCTTTAACCTGCTCTTTTAACCTGTTTTCTTTTCGTTTTTGACAAATTTAGAGTTTCCTGCAGTATGGTTGGCAAGGTTTCAAAAGGTTTTTTTTTCAGAAGCTGTTTTTTGTGTTTGCACAGAGGATTTGATCTAGCTGAATCCAATCCTCTTTATCGAACGTTTTAACTGAAAGTCTTAGGGCTTAGCTTTTTGTTAGCTTGCTGCTTAGCTTTTTCCTAAATCCACATACCCAGTGGGAATGTGTCATCTTGTAATATTTGGCTGCCTTCTATTGTGGGAGTTAAAACCAATTTGGTTTTGAACAAGAAGAAATTTTTCTATAAATAAGCATCTTTGTATGGGAAGCCAATTTCTCTGGCAAAACTCTGGGAAACAAAGCAAAATAAAAATGCAAACTTGTAAGACCAACATGCTTAATATCAAAGTAAAGATAGAGATGACATTAATTATACAATTGTAACCTATAGTGAGGCTAGAGTAACATCAGCTTAGGGCTAAAATTAGTCTACTCTCACCATTCCTATGCATAAACCCTGTTAGTTTCTCACATTAGATCTTAGATATTGATGATTGTAATCCTCAAATACTGTTCAATATCACTGTTCAGATATATTTTTCACTTTTTATGATTCCTGTGCTATGTGAGCAATAACTCCTAGAAGCTGGACACAGAGTTAAGAATTATTTCATCTAAAGGCAGAGAAATACACAGCAATAATGTACATGTAGGCAGGGAAACCATGTAAGTCCTGCGGTGAACACATTGTTGCTAAAGTTAAATAGCAAAAAAGATTATAAAATTGTACTGTGGTGAGTATGTTCAAAAATACAGTGTCAGTGATCCTCACAGTCTTAAAATTCACACAGAACTGCCCACTAAATTTAATTTCTAAGTTGTCTTCTATCAGAGTTTTCATTTCACATTACAGATAGAGGATTTAATTCTGAATTAGTCCATATTTCATTGTATGTATTTAATCATTCATTCTCAGTACCTTCCCTGACAATTTGGGTTTTTTTTAAACTCATGACCCTCTGGCATAAATGTAGGTAAGGCTGTGGAAAAACAAGTGTTAGTTGGTCTCTTTTTGTGAAAAAAGCTTGCATAAGTAACTACATAGGCATTTTAAATATAAAATACCATGGAGAGCATATTGACTGTGACTGTGAAAGTCAATCACAGAGAAAAAACAGCTCTTGTCAAACATCTAAGGAGATTCGACTGCCTGTTTTTGTAACTTGTGCTATGAGTAGAGGCTAAAACATTTACTTGACAAAATACTATTCAAGTGTTTTTCTTGTAAAGAAAATACAGGTCCAAACTTTAAAATTCTGAGGTTGCCTCTTGTGAGACACCAGACAAGTAATTTATTCAGCCTTTCTCTAGCTCCACCATTTTGTCTGTGAGCTTGAGTGATATTGGTGTACACCTACTCTTTAGGATGATGTGCAGTTTTTAATTAGCCAGTCCAACAAGAACTATGAGATACTGATGTGAAAAGTGCTGGCCACAAATATGGAGAGCAGGATGAGTGGCAGAAAATGAACTTGAATAGACCTTTGGTCGCATAAATATTTTTAAAAAATTTAAAAAATCTTCAACCTTTGACATGAAAATGACCTTAGAGATCAGCATCAAATCATTCTGTGGCAAAGCTTTCTTCTGTCGAAGTCACATTACAGATTTCTAATCCATATTCTGCACTGGAGCTTCTGTGTGTAGAGAAATGCTGATTATGCAAGAGGTTGATGGTGTGAAGAAGTGCCCCAGGGGATGGGCTTGTGAGGGAAATTTGGCTCTCCAACTGTTTCTGGTAAGACTGAATAATTTTTATTTTTCAGCCCTTGCTTAATAGCAAGTATCCAGGATGCCAAGAACCTCCTC